AGCCTAATATTGACAGTAGCTCACGTCAATCACAGCCGTGATGTATTGCCCTAGGACCCACATGTTGCCTGAGTTCGTCCTTACTTGCAAGGAGCCAGGTGCAACATGTACTTGATAATGCTTGACATGATTGCGTTGCGAGGCTGGTACCGCGGCATTTCATAAGTAAGAACGAGTTAATGCCCGTAAATGTTGATGAAATCATGTTGCTCCAGCGTGAAAAGCTTCTGCTTCATGAGCAGTAGTCGCGGATGCACCCTCGATATCCTCGCGTACTTGTCACGGCATAGGCGAGTCGGTAATGAATTTCTGCTCATGTCCGGGACAAGCAGCCTCGCTGTTCAGCAACTCAAGGTATTTTGGATCCTGCTGGAAGGAGACGGGGAGATTGGCAAAAGGTACTCTGCCGCAAATGCAGCAGTGGTCACCAAGTGGGTCAAGCGGGTGATCTGCCTCAAGTGAGGCGGCGTGTGAAAGGCTGCCGGATGCTGCCGGGATCGACTGCACAGCACTCGGTGGGCCAAGCGATGTCTACTGCAGCTAGCACCTACAGAATTGAGCACCAATAGGCTGAGATTGCCTGGAGGTAGCAAGAACTTCCTTACATGACATGCAGAATTCTTCCACGCACTCCTCGTTAGTCTCAGCGCGGGCAGTAGCACCCGGAAATCGAAGTTGAACATCAGCGAGGGCATCCTGCTTTTGTGACATCTTGCGTGTTCACAACCTCAAAGGTTGCTATTTGAAGGTCCTTGTTGATAACAAGCACGTCCGTCCGACTGCTGAAGCCACGGACCTTATGGCAAAAGATATCTTTAGAAGCTGCAGTTTTCAAAAGAAACTCCCAAGCGAAGCATTCCACATGGCATGAGGCATGCTGCCATGACTGGCAGTGCTGCAATCTGACCGACCAGATCCGCGCTCTGATAGATGCCACAGAGGACCTAGAGACGGTAGGCTCCGTATATAGCCGGTTCTGTTCAATTTGCTGCTCCCAGGCCTCGCAAGCTACGGAAGGTTGAATCACCGAGTCGTCCTTGACATCTGGAAGGGTCCAGGGCCGGCATTCATTCAGCTCCGCAACTCCTCATGCTCTTCTTCCAGGACATTGCCCAAAGGACTCCGCTTGAGGCATTGCTGGACCTCAGATGCCCATATGCGCCAACCCGAAACCAGATGCAAAGATACGCAAAGCAGGCTTAGAGCGCAGAGCCCACGTCTTCAGCTGCGCCAGGTCTGCTCGATCGCCGTCACAGATGGCCTGCGACAAAAACGAGGTCTGCTTGCACGTCATGATCGACCGTAATCATCATAACCACGCGAAATCGCGGAACCTCCAGGCAGCCATGGTTCACAACATAGACCTCCGTTGCTGTCGAAACTGTGAGGGCAGTAGGAATGTGCTAAACAGCTTGCCTCTGCTGTAATCTCGCCGTCTTCGATGACCACCTCGTTTTGTAGCACCTGCATTGCCAGCACACGGAAGCGCAAAGCAACACACCGTGTCCTTGGCTGTCCTTCACTGTGGAAGAGGGCCATCTCTCAGGCGGGAGCATGCTGCGGCATCATCAGCTGAACCAGCTCAATCCTGAAAGCCAAGTCCTGCAACGTCAAGCACGGCCGCATCATTGGATGCACTAGCTAGTGCAAGGCAGATGGCAGCAAAATCTGCCGAGGCTAGTCGTTTCCAGGCGTCCATTGAAGCTCTGGCCACTGGACACTTGATCTTCATCCCTACCACTCCCAAGGCAGCGAACTAGTTCACCGCAATTTTTGCGCCTGGTATCAACAAGCTTTGACACGCTACGAGGGCTTTGGAAACCCATGTTTTGGAAATCTTCTGCTACTGATTTCCAAGCACACTTTCTCGGAAGGCCACTCTTGCAAGAACATTTTTTGACAGGTTTGCTGGAGGTGGGGGTTTCAAGGTGCTGCGAGTCTGCCAGGACAAATCGTCGAACGGCGACAGTGTGCATGGCGATGGATGAACATTCAAATGCATCATCCAACATCTACAGCCGTAGGCCTGCTCATGAGGCAACGATGTTAAAACGATGCGAAGCCAAAGCCTGCTAACCAAACGTAACAAGCGCTTTGCTATCACACAGCTGCAAGAGACTGAAGTTTACATGTCGATGTACCATCGCAGCACGAACTGAAGCAGACTTGCATGACCTGATGCAACTCACGATGAATGTCTCCAGATTCCTGGACTATACGGGCAAACAGCAAGTGCACCTTGCAAGCCTTTCTCTCCTTAAATGTACCTAAAACTTACTTGATGAGGAGGTTGATTGATGCGAGGAGGCTAGTGCCGTTGATCAAGTCTGCAAGAAATGACTACTGTACTTTGCAAATTCCAGCACATTTTTGAAGAAGACACCCTGGTACCCAACGCTCTCACCATCCGGATTTCGAGAAGCGCTGAATGCTTGCTTTCAACACTCCACTACATGCTGGCTATACCTAAAACCACGACCCTGCAACCCGTCATATCACCTCCGCAAATCTTCTAGACCAACTTATGTTCTTGTGTCTGGCTTCTTTGGGACCCAACACCAATCACTGAGCGGGCTTCCGGAGGATCAAAAAGACTAAGTAGGCCACTAGGAAATCTTCAAAGCACCACCAACCTAGGACCTAGGTCCCAGGTACTACGGGTGATCCTCCGCACAGGCGCAAAACTTGACCAGGCAGCCTTTTTGCTTAGAGCGTGACAATGTTTTTGGCAAGCCGAGGCTAGCCGAGCCCAGTATCAAGACACCATGACAAGTAGCTTGCCACAAAGATCACGCCAATCACGCTAGCAAAATGAAAAGCTGGTAGAAGGTCTGGCCTGCTGCCTCAAAAGCAAGGCAGTGCTACCTAACCGGCCCTGCAATCCACACAAAAATCCTTTTCGCTCAAGGAAAAACCACAAGCCAGCAAGCAGCAATCAGGACAATGAGCAACAAAGCACAGGGTCCTCCTCATGAAAAGGTCGCTCCAGGGTCCGCAACCACTCTGAGTATGAATTCTGGATGATGTCCATCCTGACCCCATGCTTGCAATGACATATGACTCTTTCAAAGCGGTCTGGCAGCACAGTATGCAAAGACCGCCTTATACTCATGGGCATGTTTCCGAGAATGTCAGCCTGCACATGTCACAAATTGAGGCACTCTTTGGCTACCTGTGAAGCCTAGCAGGGGTCAAAAAAGCCAGCCGCTCAGCCTCATTGAAGATGGACTTTTTGTGAAGCACGTATTGTGTGTGCTCTCGGATGGCCACCCTTCCAGCAGCACTTGCTCCAACAACATTGCGCACAAACTATGCAAATCACCAAAAAGAAGAAATTGGCTGTCCAGCTGCCAGCTGGACTCACTCAAAAAGCCTTGAAGCTTTGCACATGCCCTTGCAAGCCGTCTTCTCAAAACATCGGCGGGGAAAGATAAATTGTGAGCGGCTTACCGCCCTACCCGAAGCTCCCAGCTGGCTCACTACTTGTTATTCACGCTCGGGAACCACAGGTGTAAGAATCGAAAAGTCCGACTGTGCTGATTGCTCTGCTTAACGTTTTCGAGTCCACACACATTAGCTGGAAAAAGGCGGCTTGAAGATGCTGGCTACTGCTGAGGCTGCCCCACACACCCATGCCCCAATGTGATAGGTCCTGGTGCTGCGGGCAAGGTCCCCATCAGTGATCACAGCGGCTACGCACGCATGGGCGCACTCAAAGCTTCTTATCGGCATGCCAGCGTTGCAGTGCATCATGCCTGTCTTTCAAAGGTTTCAGGCTTGTACCCCTAGGGTTGTACCCCTGGGGTTTGGGGATCCCTTCAAAGGACTATAGGGAACTACATTGGCTCATATAACAGCTATATTAGGGCAATATTTGGGGAACCTTTTAGGTTACGGGATGTTTCGGGTACGACATTAGGGTTACAAGTTACAACCCAGGAACCTTGACTCTTGGCAACGAAGTCATGCAAAACACACATGCTGCCAACCTACCGGCGACCCAACTTCCACGCGTGGGGAGACGAAAGCTTGCAAACTGGCGCGCACCAGGCCACCCCCAACCCTGGCCCCGGAAACACAGCCAAATTTGAACGTAGTTGGGGTTTCCCCTCCCCCACACCACTGGGTTCAAAACGAAAGCTTGGGAAAGCTTTTGCAATTATCGCAATGGGACGATTCTTGTAAAATTGTTTCAGACGGTAGGAGGCTTGGCGAAGAAGACTCTAGCCACTGACGACAGAGCAGAGTGATGATGCTAGGCCTGAAGTTTAAAGGCTGGCAGTCTTTTTAGGACTGCACCACCTACCTTGAGGTGGGAGCTGGTACGGGCTGTTTCACACAACATCCTGGCCTACTGGCGAGCGAACGGCAAGCATTCCCTGTGTGCTTTTCAGCAAGGCACAAGCAGTCAGCCAAGTGGAAGCAGAGGAGACCCAGAAGTTGAAATTCCCCACTATCACTATGCTGCATGACTCAGCATGAGAGGGCTTATGCTTGCCTGTCTAATCTCCCAGGCCATGATGCCCAAACATGCCCAACGACTGGGAAGGTCGTAGGTGCATCGATGCATCAGCCTCAAATGCCGCGGCATTCGGCGACCCGTGCACCACTCCTGGAAAAAGCTTGGGCTCATGGGACACCATGCGAGGATGCAAATTCGCACTGAACAGTCCGCCACGCCTTGATTTCATTAAGGCGCTTGTTCGTTTCGTTGGCGCGCGGGTTTGCAGACTCCAGTAGAGAAGTGACCTGGCCGAAATTGGGGGCACGCAAAGTTCCTTCAGATGGCAACCCGGCCGAGGAGAGGATGAAGCCAAAGGCGGTCGCTCCAAAAAGTTGAAGCACAATGCAGAAAAGTCGCTCATCCTCAACTGACCCTCACATCACTCAATCACTCATCTATTGCAGTCAGATGCTTGTACACAGAGCTTCTTGCACACTTGCTGGGAGCTCTGCAGTATTCTTTGCCCAAATATCACCATACCCGACCGCCATCATGGTGGCAGTAATAAAGTGGAATGAAGCAATGTACCTGCTTGTCATCTTGTCACGCAACATTACTGCAAGCAAAAGAAGGGCACTTCGATACCAGACCAAACTCATCAACATTGTACACCCTGAGATGTTTGGAGACATTGCAAGAACTGATGCTTCCACCATAAGTCATGGAATCTCAGATGCGCATGCTCTTGGATTATCTCCGCATTCAACAATGCCAGGATTCCTCAGAAATCGTGCTTCTGAGGAAGTAAGGATGCTTGGTCATTTACACGAAGCGGGTCGCCCGCTTGTCGGTCGATATGCTGTTAAGACATCCAGCATGCCAGATTGCATGGCATGTGCCAATCGCAGCGTTGAGTTCACGCCATGACTGGTTGAAAAAGTCAAAGGTCCCGTTCAAAGCGGGGCATGTGGCTGCACTTCTTCAACGAACAGCTCAAACTCCCACCATCAAATAACTGCCCACCGCCAAATTTCTCGAAAGTGTACCAGAAGACTGACAGTTCTCATGTGCGGAGTCACCAGTCTGAGCCATCCGATTGGGATGGCCACTTCCGGGTAACTGCCACCACCCTCCACAGCGATAACTTTCATCTGCTCCTGGCTGAGGCAATGCACCGCACAGCACCTCTGATCTTTGCACATTAGCAGTCGGATTGCACCAACAACAGCAGCGAACGACCAAAGTTTAGTGGCATATGAGGCCATCTACAGAAGCTGTGTCTCATAACAGCATACACCAAACTTTGCTCCGACGCAATGTGGGAAGATGAAGCTAATCAAGCCCATAACACTGCGTGCAAAGCGCACCAGTACAGAATGGAAACAAACTAGCTGAGCTCTTCTTTGGGACTGCTCGCCTACTTGCACTGGTCGGGCAAACGTGAAACTGTGCGAATTCTGCTTCGAGAGCAGCCTCACCTAGTCACAAAGGAGCCAAGTCCTGTGTCAGCTGCAAGTTTGCAAGGAGCAGTTGAGACTGTTGCCCATACAGCCTCCTTCGTTGCAAAGTTGAAGATCAATTGATCTAAGAAAGAAGCATTGGAGAGGACACAGCCTGCGAAGATGCAGCTTATTGAGTGTTGTTGCGAGACGCAAAAAAGTACCTGGATTTCTTCGATCCAGCCTCGCTTCTCCGCTGCCAGCTTCACGGCATCCTAAAACGAGAGCCCTATATGTCTCCCTATATCCGCGTCAAAGAGCACGGGCGGCCTTCAAGGACATACCCATGGCACCAGCAAGGAATGCGACTGCGGCCTGCGATTGCGGCAAGGGCTGCGTGGAGGTTTTGCCCACCACAGCGAAGCATAAGCTTTGTTCAACATAAGCCCTCAACAAGAAGAAAGTTACAGTAGTGATGACTGGACCCATGCAGGCATGCTGAAGATGTCCAGAACAGACAACGCTGCTGCAACGTTCTCACTGAACAAGTTAGACAGTATCATGAGGGTGGCCATCAAAGACAAGACATAAAGATACCATGCAAGCGCACAGTCAAACAAGTTGCAGTAGCTTGGCTTGTAACATGCGATGCCACGTTGTATGAAATATGAGTTTGTCCTGCGGGCAGGGTTTCCGGGCCAATGGACCATTGGCATAAGAGTTTGTTGGCAGCCGCTGGCTGATATCGGGCATGCTGGAGATTAAGTGGCATCCCTTGCGTATCTTTTCTTGGAACACCAAGGACTACTGCACACCACGCATGACTGTCCACAAATCCTGCGTTGCAGTGTTGACATTTGCTAGAATCTGCCATGAAGTATGCTGACAAGACACAAGGATCTGGGAAAACCGGATGATTTCTGCAAACAAACTGCACGAACAAACCCCTGAACAAACCCCTGAGCTATCCAGCACACATCTGAAAAGGTGTTGGCACTTTATCGCCACCAGCATCTGAGCACAGCCACCCAAACAGATCGATTGATGCCCATGATGCAGTGCACAAGGACCTGTCCAGACATGCAACATCATGCGTTCAACATGCTTGTGGCCACACACAACTGGCCAGGCCTTCCGTCCGTGCCGCCTGCACTCGGTGAGAAAGTCCAAGATCTGCCAGAGAGGGGCTACGGGTCAATGCATGTCAATGGTCTGCATGACATTGTGAAGAAGAAGGAGGTTGCTGCCACACAAGTCCAAAAAGTCTCTCTGTGGTACATGAAGGATATGTCGTGGCATGCTACACAGCCTTCCGGCCTTCCATAAACCCTTGCTGATTTGCACGCATGGCAGTCCTGAAGTAATCTTGGCTAGCAAGATACGTTGAGACTTTTTTCTCTCATCGCGTTGCTCCCAAACACGCATCTTTTGGCACATCTTTGTCGCATCTTAGCGAAGTACCTGATTCTGGTGGAGCGAGCGTTTCTTGCTGGAGGTCATGAAGGCTCTGCCGTTCCGTAGCCGCTGCCGCGGCCTTCTAAGGTTAAATCATATGAATACTGCATTCTGGATGATCCGAATGTGACTCTTGATGTCCTGGCAAGGCAAATACGGCACATCAAAACGCTTGGGCCGAGGCATGAGCGCATACAAAGCAATCCGCACCAGTCCCTGCCTGACGGGATAAGTGTACGGGCGCTTTCTGTCCAGAGTCCGTGCGTAAATAAACGATCCACGAGTAGGACAATCGACACCGTCCACCACAACCTCCGCAAAGCACAAAAAGGTCAAGAAAGCTCGCACGAGTACATACGAGTACAGGAGTGCTTGGAGTGCTTGCACGATGATCGTTCAGCTCCCAGGGCCCGACGGGAGCTTGCAGTGGCTCCGACTCATCCGTGAGCTTACCTTGCCTGGCACCCTTAAGCTTCAGACGATGGAGCAACATACCTGAGTGCTCAGACTGATCCCTCACATCTCTTCTTCAAGTCTAAACAGCACAGTACTTGCTACAGCTGGAAGGACATCCACTGCCATCTTAGTAGTGCGGCAAATTTCCAACCTTGCAAGCAAAACCACAAAAGCCAGAAAGTACATCATTGTAGTGTTTAGAAAGATTTGATGCCATAACCTGCTGGCAAGAAAAATCCTTGTTATATACTTGACAACTTGTCGCATGCGCATCCAGACTACTTCCTCCCATTTCCCGAAACTCACGGGATGACGTCAAAGGAAAAAACCCTGGGTGTATGAAATTTGAAATCGGCAAAGCATTGAAAATTCCTTCCGGTCCGCATGCGCAATCACCGCGCTCCCACATCTCCCACCCGCCCATCAGCAATCCTTGTGGAAATAGAAAGTGGCAAAAGCAACGCAGGGCTGGCCTATGATCCCGTGCGATCACGAAAGCAGCCACGTGCTGCATATACAAAAACCTTGACTCTGTACGGCCTACGGTTTACAGCAGCATTGCCACTGGATGGCGGTCGATCAAGAATCCAAACGTAATTTCGAAGACTGCAGGTAGACATCACAGGCCAGGGAAAGTTGAGCGGCGAGCCGAGGCCAACGAAAGCTAGCCAGGCTCTTTGTAGCATGGACTAAGGTAGAAGAGGAGGGAAGGTACATGCCAGCAAAAGCACAGACCTCGTTAAGGGCCTGGAAACCCATCGCAGAACCTCGCCAACTCGACTCCAGTGGCCACTTCTCTTTGCACTCCACATTCCTTTCAAGCCTTCTCCTCCCCACTTTCCCCATTCGTCTGTGCTCCACGTTTCACTCCACTGTCCAATCTTACTCTGACTTTACTCTGGACTCCACCCTCACTCCAGAGACCACTCCAGTTTCCACTCCACTCTTATTCACTTTCTGCATCACTCACCACTCCACTCTGCAATGCACTCTCCACTCCACTCTCCAGTCCATATTCCACCCTCCACTGCTTTCCACCTCACTCTCCACCTCTTTCCACCGCACTTTCCCCCCACACCTGTCCCTTCCACTCCATTCCATTACGAAATGGCGCAAGTAGCGTGGTCCTGGCATTCTCTGCCAACGTCCAAGCGCCTGGACAAGCACGAAAACGGCGAGTTTCACTGTCCCATCCCGACCACAGGGTCGCATTCGACGAAAACACGACCAGGTACAAAGCCTGAGGGCGCCCTTGCCTGCGACAGTGGGCATGTCTTCCAGGAGGTGAAGACACGAGGCTCCAAAAGTGGCCACAGTTGCCAAGATGGCGACCCCAAGCGGTCTCATCCCTGTCACTTCTCACGCGCAACAAGGATGTCACTCTCCAAAAGGAGATGAAGTTACCAAGATGGCTAGCCCACGGTGCAGCATCCCTGTGATTGCTGGCGTTCATTAACTTTTCAAACGCCACGAAGCAGCAACGCTTACCCGCCCCGCCCCACCCCATGCCCCGTGACTGTTTGCACCTTTCACACGCGACGCAGCAACGACAATCCAAAAGCCACAACACTTATACGAGGATGGTTCCGACGCGAATGCTTGGAAACGCTTGCGAACACTTGTGGACGCGTTGCGGGCGCTTGCGGACACGTGCGCAGTGAGTTAGCTCGGCCATGGGTTCCCAGATCGCAACATTGAGACCAGGCATTCAGCAATAAGAAGTTGTGGCCTGGAACAACTAAAAAGATGTTACTTGTAGCATGACCACACAACGTCTGGAACACTATGAAAGGGGAAGAGAGGTGTGATTCAACCACCAAACATGAACGTACCCGCGCTCTGGCCAAAAAAGGGTCATAAAGACAAACAAGATTGGATGCAACCACAAAGCAAAATGGTACTCGTGCAAAAAGCAGGCAGGAAACAAACACCAAAAGAGGAGAAGGCGACATCCAACGACCAGACATGACGTGTTTGGTACCATGACCGTTAAAAGGCATGACATGCACTATCAAAGACGGAGTAGGGAGCCTCAGAACAAACATCGAGCTTAATGCCATTCGCACCATGCTCATGCATGGGCAGGTTTAGCGAGCACTACATGGGGTGGCAAGGACTCAATAAAACAAGAAGTTGCTTGTTTCAACACCAGGCAAAAGCATCGAACACAGCAGAAGGAGGAAAAGGTGCAATGCAACAACCCGGCATGATGATGCTTGCCGGGTAGTGATCACTACAACTACAGAGGGGCCAGGGAGGTTTGACGCAAGGACCAGCACGGTTTATGTGTATCATGACTTTGCAAGGGTTGTGAACACTGAAG